CAGGAATCTTTGTAGTTACTACAAATAACTGAAGCACTGAGGGATATTATTTCAGAGTATTCCCAAGGAATGTAGGCCAAATATAACATCGTATTATTAAAAGGGTCCATGTATCAATAGTAACTGAAAACTATGGATTACTTTTCTGAAATGCTGACTGCAAATTTCTGGTTTGGCTTCCTCAAACTGACCTCCTTTCCCTAGCTATTCCCTTTTGCCAATTGTAGGTGTCTTTTACGAGGCTGGGTTGGAATACACACTCAGTACATGAGTTAAGGGTGTCAGAATGTTCGTACTAGAAAACAAAAAAAAATGAGTAACTTTTTTTTCTCTTAGATTCCTATTTAAGTCAGAAACTGACATCTTAAGAGAAAAATCTTGCTACTGGCTGTTTGGATGTCTGGAGCAGTGACCTTCATAGTTTGGATGGACACAGCTTTGGACAACATGAAGTTGGATGTTTGTTTTTAAACTAAATGAAGATCAGCTGTCATCTATGTGCCTGATTAAAGGTGAAGCAGCAGAGAGCTGAAGTAAGACCTATCCCTTTCATTAAAGGATCTACTATATAGGTGAGAAAAAAGACATACATGCTATGAATAAAACCAGAACATTGCAGGGCTTCATACACACTGCACTAAGTGTGCCTGAGGTATCACACAGTTAATTATCTTCATGAAAGTTCAGACAGACAGAACAGAAACTATTTCACTGAAACCTCTAGTTATGCAAATGAATAAACAGTTCTTAGGAAAATTGTATTATTCTGTCACTGGTATTTCATTAGTAGTCTGGTCTGCATATTAATTAATTTTTTGAGAGGTTTTTGCTACAGGGCATGTGCGCTTGCCAGAAAGACAGAGAGAGACAGAGAGACAGAAAATGAGAAATCACCCCCCAGGGGGGATGGCCACACTGCAATCTATTCTCCTCCATTCTCCTCTTGGGATCTTGGGCACGCACACATGCCCGGCATGAGTTTAAGCCACCGGGTCTGGGACTCGAACCGCAGTTGACTACATTGGAGTCCAGCGACATAGCCATTACGCTAACTGCTGATCCCTAATTTATTTTGTTTTATATAGTAAGTAGAATGGATATTTTGATTAAGAAGTTCTGTGGGTCAGAATGCTTAAGGAGTAGAGGGCCAGATGGTGGCACAGTGGTAAAATGCAATACTCTGCCAGGCGATCCCGCATGGGAAGTCTCCCAGGTAAAGTCCAGAGACCTCCCTGAGTATGCTGGGCATCTACGTGCCCACAATCTGGGGCCAGATAAAGGCAGGAGGTGGATCAGAGCGTCAAGACTCTGTTGGGGATGCTGTATTTCTCTTCTATGTCTCTTTCATGGGAGAAATGAAACACTTTTAAAAAATGCTCAGGAAATATTGCCCCAAGCAGGACATAATTGGAAAGCTGAAATGACCTTCAGGTCCTATATGTATCATCTCTAATTCTTTGCTCTTGCCCATGTTCCAGGCTATCCCCCTTCACCCAGTCACGTCACCCTGCATTTCCTGGGAAGCAGTCAGACATACTTTCTTGGTGTCTACAGAGGTGTACAGAAGCGCCAGGGTACTGTCGACATCCCCAGTGCTGTCCAAAGTCACAAGACCCGCGTGTCCTAGGGCAGAATCAGAGTGTTAGAGGCCGTTACTGATTTCTCACCTGACTGACCAGGTAGTTTCTGACAGAGGGTGTAAAATGGGTTCACATTTCTCAGTTTTGGATTTAATGAAAAATGGCTGAGCTTAATGGTCCAAGAGGACCCCGGGATTAGTTGTTGACCATGAGATCTCTGAAGAATGTTTTTATGGGAGACGTTATTTATTTACTGGGTCACTGGAAAAGTTATGACCTATTTTTCTATGTTTGTCTATGCAAAAATGCATCGTGACTTTTCCAATGACCTAGTAGAAAGAATATTTTTCCCTTGTATTTACAGTGGCATTAAATAGAATCAGTCAATAAATTCTGCAATTGTAAATTTTGGCTAATAATTTTTATCAAACTAATAGCAAAGTACATAGAGCAGTATATAAGTTAACTCAGATTGTAAAAAAAATCAAAATCTTTTACAATCATTTATTAGCTGAAAATACTGAAAAAATTGCTTAAGCTCTCTGTGTTTCAGTTTTCATCCATGAAATAACAGCAGTATAGAATGAAACGATGAAATGGCTGTTTAGGTAAAAAGTGGTCAAATCAACAATTCTACATGGTTCAACATTATAACTAATAATTATTTCATGTTGACTATATACCAGGCCTTGGGCTAAGTGCTTAGTATACACTTACAATTTTATTCTCCCTAGAATACCATGACACAGAAACTGTGGTTGTCTTTATTTTATTGATGGGAAATCATTTATGGAAGTCAGAGATATTAAGTAACTTGCCCAAGTTCGTAGAGCTGGTAGGTGGCTAAACGTGGACACAAATGTCCCCTGGCTCCAAGCCAGTGTCGGTGACTGGCTGGATGCTTGACAATGACGACGGGTGTGAGGAAACTGAAAATGTGCACACAGTGCCTGGCAGAGCCTGGGACCCATGGGCTGCCCAATAGATGACTGCCCCTCCCTCCCTCCGTCTTCAGGTGAGCAGAAGGGCTGCCTTCCTAGCATTGTCATACCCACAGCCTTTGCTACCACTCTCAGACTTTGCTGAGCGTCTGCTGCCCTCTGAAGCCGACAGGGGAAGGCTCGCTCTGCAGTAAGACCACGACTTCCCAAAGTAAGACTTTAAGGCAAGTTAGAGAAGGCAAGTATCACGTGCCTTTAATACAGTGTACGTTAAACTTAAAAGAAAGTTTCTTCATCACCCCTAGATGAGATCTGAGAGATGAAAGATGAGAGTTCCCATAGGGAAACTCCTTTGGGAAAAAAGGAAATGTCAACCCGTATGGTTCAGAGGGGGGTGTGTTGTTTTGAATTAAATCATTATTAGCAGTATTAGGGTTTGGGTAGGTGACGGTTTAACAAAAAGCCTTGGATCCTTGAAGGATAAAAGGGAGATGTGGAGGGACCAAACACAAACTACAAATATTCCTCTTCTTGCACAGTCAGGGCATCACGGCTCAAAATGCTTGTTCATAAGTAGTAGGCCTGAGCTTGTGCTCTTTCTATGATAGCCAAAGATTTTGAAAGTCTGCAGCGTTAAGTTGGAAACCAGTTAGCAATAACAGTATCCCCAAAACTTTCTGGAGGATGTTTGCCTCCAGTTGAGCTCAAAGATATTCAGTGATTTGATGGCCGTTCCCAGCCTCCCTTTCCGTTTCCCAAAGTGCATTCACGAAGCCCACCATCCTCCAGCTCTGATGTTTAGGAGACCAGTACCTGTAAAACTGAGGTTCCTGAAAGCATGAGCAAACTCAGGGCCGGTAACGTCTTCTCCGTTTTCAAGAAATTTCTGCAGCACGTGTCCAAAGAGCAAGATCCCATCCAAATAGGCGAGGGCAAACTCGTATTTGGCCTGAATGAGAAAAATCTTACAATAAGTCCACAAAAGAGATTCCAGTCAAGAGCTTGGAATGAAATATTCTTGGAGTCTGCCAGGTAACTGGCAAGGTAAAGGGGCAGTGGGGAATTGGGGGGATGATATTAGGGGAGACTTTGGAAAAGCCCGCCTGGGTCAGTGGTCCCAGGTCACAATTCTGCCTTTTCTTGGGATCAGTAAAATGAGAAGTAGACAGTACATTTAGAGAAGTGGCTACAAGCAGTTATACTCCTTCTCACAATGATAAGATAAACAATTACAACCAGAAAAAAAAGAAAAAACATGAAGCATTTTCATCATCCTTGTAAGATTGTATATAGAAATAATGTCTGCTGGGGTCAGCAGATGGAGTGGTAGTCAAGGCACTGGACTCCCACACGGTTGACCCCAGTTGGAGTCCCAGACCCAGCTTCTTGAAAATAATACCAGGCACATGGGCATGCGTGCCCACAATCCCAAGAGGAGAATGGAGTACAAGAGATTTCCCATTGGCAATTCCCCTGGGGGTTGATTTCTTATTTTCCCTCTGTCTGTCTCTCTCCAGCGAGTGCATGGATCCTGCCTGGGGCAAAAACCAGAAGAGGGAAAGAAAAAGGAAACAGTGCTTGCTTATAGTTTAGTATTTTTGTCTAAGTGCAAAAAATAAAACCAAAAAATGACCTCTGCCTTTCAGTATCCTGAATGACACATGAGAAGTTTTGATTGGATGATGCCATTGAATTTACTTCCAAGACAGTTCTGATTGGGTATTACTTTAAGCCCCAAATGTCTTCCCTGAGGACAATAACAAGGAGCGTCAAAACTCCTCAGCTGTTGTGGCCGATGCATGGTGACCTTCACAAAACTGGGTGCTAGCTCCACTAAGACCGGATGAGTTCTGTTCCCTCAAGTATTTCAGATTCCAGCTCCAAAGCACCAGAGCCAAGAAGCATGCAGGTGATACCTGGATCCATGCCCAGAATTGTATTTGCTAGGAAATATGAAGAGGGGCCCAGCTATGGTGGTATATGCTGCCTAGACTGTGCTGCACAGCCCAGGGCCAAGTGGAGGTCTGAGTTCAGTTCCCGATCCAACCCAAAGGCCAGGCAGGATGCCTTATGCCTGGAATCCTGGTGACTCAGGGAGGCTAAGGCAAAAAGGATGCAAGCTTCAGGCTGGCCTGGACAACACAGTGAGCCTTGTCTGAAAAACAGCCAGTTGTGGTCACATATGCCTGTAGTCACAGCTGGGAGTGCTGAAGCAGGAGGATTGCACCACCAGATCCTGTCTTTAAAAGGAAAAAAAAAGTGTGCATGTATATAGAATACACTGCTATATAGACTGCTATATATTATATTAATAGATATGTATATTTGTGTATGCATATAATATGTAATATATGAAAGGTAAGACTCCTTTCAATGGTTTCAGATCCTGTCTTTAAAAGGAAAAAAAAAGTGTGCATGTATATAGAATACACTGCTATATAGACTGCTATATATTATATTAATAGATATGTATATTTGTGTATGCATATAATATGTAATATATGAAATATATATATATATGGTTTCATTTTCTTTTGCTGAAATAATCATTTCATGAGATGAAAAGAAACCAGTGAGAGCACAGCCCCCAAAGAGATTGCAGGCTCTCATGTTGGCAGTCATAAATAGAGCACCTAGAATTGCTGGTCTGGTAAATACTGTGACACCCAGAAGTGTCCTACGACGTTGTTTAGGGCCCTCAGGATTGCCCCTTCCTACTCTTCCATCTCCACACCTGCTCTCAGCTGTTGTCTGAGGGCAGAAAGCATCCGATAAATGTAATCACATTCAGGCACAATGCAAGACAAAGCCCAGCATGCCGTTAGAGTCAGGCGCCCTGCATTATTTTAAAGTGACCATGATTTATGTCCACACGGAAGCCTTTCTGTTCTGGGACAAATGCTAAGCCAGATGGGATGATAGAATGGCAGAAGTAAACTGGACTCTCTTGGGCAAACTTGGACAGTGGTCAATTTAATTATCAGGAAGGACAATGCCTTAACCTAGGAATACATCTCTCGAAAGGTAGAATTTTGATATCAGTGACGGGAGAAAGTTCCTCTAAATGCAGAGAATTTTCCAGTAACCCTTCCTTATTTCACATTGTTCAACTTCTACCTCCCCTAAGTGTAAGAATGACTTTCCATAGTAGGGCTATTTTCCCATATTGTCACTTCCATTCTGATGTCGCGAAGGTGTTCACTGTTGAGTTGGTCTAGAACCTAGTATGGTTATGGTGACATACAGTAAGAGTTTTGATGAGGATCCTGCTACTGCAAAATGCTACACATGCACACAGTTGGTTGTGGTTAAGTGAATTGAAATGAATAAAAACAATTGCTTATTTTAGAATTTGGGTCCTGAATAGGAGAATAGTTATCTTACCTTTGATGGTAACAATTGGTTGATCAAAGAGTCATTTAAGATGGAATTTTTAAAATCCAGTGTCAGAACAAGGACATTTTTCATGTAGTCGGGGGCTGTGACGTTGTCTTCGAAGTAGTAGTTACTATAATAAAAAGTACAGGTTTCCTGTGAAAATTAGCTTCCTCCAAAAATAAAGGCAAATCTTCTACAATTCACACAAGCTATAACATCATACTTGAAAGCAGTTTAAAACTTTTTCCCCAGTGATGTACAAAATTTTCTACTTTCCCCAGAAAATTATATTGAGTAAGAGTACTTAGGTAGTTATGGTTAACATACACAGATGGAAAGGAAAATCAGAATACAGTTGGCAGATCCTTCTTTGAGAGAAATATTTTGGGCTCTGGACATATAAGTTTGTACTTGCTTTTAAGGCATAATGATCCTTGGTTTATACCTGAAAACTTTCTTTTCTTTAAATTCTCTTAACAATTTAGAGATACTGTGTTAAGGTAGAGAGACATTTTATCATTAAACTTACTTTTTATTTATTTATTTTTCTTTTATTTAACATAATCTTGTTTATATTACATTGAATCACGTATAACTTTACAGTGTATTACACTTACATTTTAGATGGCAAAACATAAGCATATAAGAGTTAACATTTTCTCAAATGCTGTAAGCTTTAGCATATGAGACATTTATTTCTTGAGTCTTCTATACTAACTCCTGGATAATGCAGATTGTATATTCTCAATAATGTCCAAGATTGCTCTGAAAATCATATGGCTTCTAAGCTTCCTCATCATTTGAATGTTTTAATATAGAAATACTCTAACACATTTGAACTCCTATAATTAGGATAATCATCTCATGTTTAAACATTACTGTGTGCTAAGTTAAGTACTGTGTTGGATATTTTGTTTTAAACCACCAGGTCCGGAACTTGAACCACCGTCTACTACATGGGAGTCCAGCGACATAGCCATTATGCTAACTGCTGGTCCCGATATTTTGTTCATATTATCACGTCTAATCCTGAAACCACTTCGTCGAAGTGGACATTTTAATTCTCATTTTAAAAATGAGAAGATTTAATCCCAAGATGCTAAGAAATTTCCAAAAGTCAAAGAACTAGAAGTAGTCCAGTGAGAAGTTAGACCTCGTACTGAATCTCATGATCGTCCCCAAACGTACCCAGGTTCCTTTGGAAATAGTGAAAAAGGAATGCTAGCATTTCAACAGTTGATTGAGAATTTGCTGAAAGTAAAATTATACCAGCCTGGCTACATGGAAGACTCTTTTCAGAGGACAAAACATCTATTAAAATCAATGTGATTGTAGGATGATACATTGAAAACTTTACACTTTTTAACTTTAGTAGCTAAAAGGCTAAGTTGGTTGATTCAATCATCTCTATGAACGTTTAGCTATCAAATAGAACTGTAGTTCCTATACTTCATTTTCCTGTCAAACTATGAAAAGTAGGTTTAGTGTGGGTGAAATGACTAGACACAGATGAGAAAGAGCTAGAGCAGTAATAGCCTCTGGTTTGAATACAGACGGGCGCTGATTAATGACCCAACCAGATAAGTGCAGTCATGTGACCTAGTTGATGGGACAAAGGGCACAGGAATACTGGTGACACTTTCTCTAAGTTTAGTCTGATTAAGTATTACCTTAGAGTTTTTTTTTTTCTTTCCTTTTTTAGGTTTACTTATTTCTTCTATGAGAGAAAGAGAGAGAGAATGAGAGAGAGCAAGCATCCCAAACAGGGTCCCAATATTTAATCCACCCCCAGCCTTCAGCCAGCCTCTAATCATGGGCACATATGTGCCTGGGACATTCAGGGAAGTCTTTGGACTTGATCCAGAACTCTCTCACGTGGGATCGCCTTGCAGAGTGTTGTTTTATGACTGGACCTCCATCTAACCCCAAGCACAGTTTGCTAGTGGGATGTCTAACCATATGAGAAGATGCGTGGTAAAACAAAATAGGATATGATGAAACGTGTTTCTGTTCTCTAGGATTTTCTCTCCTTAGTTCCAGAGAAGCATGGAGGAAAGATCACCACCTATTGCTTATGCCACAAAAAGCAAAGAATAAATGTGTAAATCAGACTCCTATAACCAAAACTTTACTCTTACCAAAGGTAGCTAAAGAAAAGCAATCTAGGACCAAAGTCCATCAGCAACTGAAGGGAAAAAAATGCATCCCAACTTCTCAGGAATACTCCCGGGGAGTTATTAGTTGTTTTTTTTTTTTTTTATCATTTTCTGCATGAAGGCCTTGAAACTCCACTGGAGATCAGGATCTTATATTGACTGAGTAAGTCTTGTAGATGCATGAGCATATGGTATTTGGGGCTTTTATAAAACTTTTGTATTTAGACATAACAGAGGTATCAAAGGAATACAACTCTGCTAAGGCCTTAATTGATTAAATAAGAGTGAGGGCATGATGAAGAATGAACTTTGTTTCAAACGTCATCATCATACTGAACCCCATAAGAAGACTGCGCAAAGCAAGGGAAAAGAGAATTTGTCTTTTGGAAATCTTTACAGTACTTCCTTTCTTTCTTTTCTTTTCTTATCTTTTTTTTTTTTTAAGAGAGATTTTCGCTATAGAGTATGTGTGTTTGCTAGAGAGACAGAAATCACTGTCCCCCAGGGGATGGCCACATTGCAATCCCTTCTCCTCCATTATCCTCTCTGGATTTTGGGCACACACACACATGTGCCTGGCATGAGTTTCAAGCCTCCGGGTCCGGGACTCGAATGATGGTCAGTCAGGTGGAAGTCCAGCAACATAACTATTACCCCATCCGCTGGTCCCAGTACTTCCCTTCTGAAAAGAGGACTTTTCTTTCAAATATTATACCTACTTGAATAAATCCATTAGAATAATGACAGTGTCTTCATTCATTGCTCGATCACCCTTGAGGCTTTGGATGAGTTTTGGAGAACCACACATAACAATCACTGAAGGAGAGAGAGAAAGACAGGAGAGAAATGTATGATGGTCTACACACAAATAGGCAGGGAACCAGTTGTCTGAATTTGAACCCAGTATATCCAAGTTCCTTTTAAAAAAGATTAACATAAATTCCTCAAATTCTCCCTTTTTTATTTAAAGTTATTAAAATCAGAACAAAATCACATGCATTCTTTAAAATATCACCTAGTCTGGAGCTAGCCCAAATCCTAGTGGTTAAGGAAGCTGGCTCCCACATGGCCAACTATGGTTTGAATCCTGCTCCCAGTGGCTTCAAAGACATGCCAAGTGTGTGTACATACATGCCCAGAATCTCAACAGGATGGAGAAATGGAGGAGAAAGAATTGTGTCATGACCATACCCAAATGGAGAGTGCTTTCTCTCTATCTCTCTCTCTGTCTCTGACAAGTGCATGTACTCTCTGGCAATTAAAAAAGATAGTATAATGCACTCCCTTAATTTTCTGGAGTTAAGGAAGCTACAGTCAAGATGCCAAAAGATCAACAAACTATTAAGTGACAGAAATAACTTTGACAGTCAAGAATCCTGTTTCAGGAGACCAGCAGATGACATAATGGTTATGTCACTGGACTCCGATTAGTTGACCATAGTTTGAGTCCCACATTTGGTGGCTTAAAACTCATAAACCAGTGCATGTGCCATGCTTGCCCAAAGTCCTGAGAGGAAACTGGAGGAGAAGGAATGGTGGTGTGGCCATCCCCCCTGGGGGTGATTTCTCACTTTGTCTCTGTCTCTCTGGTGAGCACACGTACACACTCCCTATAGCATAAATCTCTCAAAAAAAAAAAAAAGAGTCTTGGTTCAGTGCTCATTTTATTACTCTAAATTTCTAAGCTGGAGTGGTTACAAAGGCTACTTTCATCAATAACTGAAGTACACCTTGCTGTTTGTAAAAGTGGTTGAAAAGGTATACTAAAAGTGAATGTGAGAAGAATTTTTTTCTGAGAGGTTTTTGCTATAGGGCACATGCGCTTGCCATAAAGACGGAGAGAGACAGAAAGCAAGAAATCACTCTGCAGAGGGAATGGCCACGCTGCGCTGCAATCCCTTCTCCTCCATTCTCCTCTCAGGATCTTGGGCATGCATGCACACATGCCTGGCATGAGTTTTAAGCCACCGGGTCCAGGACTTGAACCGCGGTCGACTACACAGGAGTCCAGCCACATAGCCATAATGCCAACTGCTGGTCCTGTGAGAAGAATTTATAAAGTCTTCCTAAGCAGTTTTCCTTGAGCTTTGTCTTTAGTGTCTTAACTCAAAATCCACTCTGACGCTCTACCGCTAACTGCAGCAAGCCAGCTCCTGAGTAAAATTTGGGGATCATTTCCTTGTATCTCATTTATGTTGTACTGTTTAAACTCTTTAGGGACATGAATAATTTTATAACCCCCCCTCCTCGTATCTTGGTAACTGTTTTTGCACCTGGTAAGTTCTTAATAATAGCAAATGCTTGGTAAAGGCAGTAGATGATGATTTGTGTGATATCAGGAAATCTGCTCAGCAAGCATCTTCCCTTGAAGAAATTCCCTCAGTTGATTCGGTTGCTTCTGATATGTTCTTGTTTGTGGAGAGAATTCCATGGAAAGTACAGCAAACCATGTAACAGCCTAGAATAATTTTCTCTATTTGTCTTTCCCATTTGGCTTGTAGCTGGGAGATCACTGGGCAGCTAAGATACAGAAGGATTAGCAAAGTGAGACGATCTTTGCTTACATTGTAATTTTGCCTGAAGCAATACATCAATAAATGTACCCTCTTGGTCACCAGGAGGACCAGAGTTCAGAATGTGTAAGGGTTAGTCACCATGCCAATGCTATGTTGGATTGAGTTGAACTTCAAAAGCAGGTTCCTGGTAGTGGGTCATGATGTTTTGGTTTACAAAAGCTGTATTCTAGCATTGACATTTCTTTCATTGTGTTAATATGTTTTCTCAATGCTCCTTTCTATTTTCTCTGAGAGGACACGGTTTTAGTGCACAAGAGGAGCAGTGTAATAAAGCTGCATGCAACATCTCCCAGATATGCAAGGTACCAGTAGTGACAGTAGCTCTGCAGGGACAGTTTAGTTAAAATGACTCATAAAGAAGTGGGAGCTATGAGAGAAAAGTTGGTAATAAAAACAAAATGATCTTGATGCTTCGTTGTTGCTGTTGCTGTTTTTAGAAAGAGAGAGAGATTTTTGCTATAGGGCATGTGCAGTTGTTGCTAGAGAGACAGAGGGACAGAAAGCAAGAAATTACCCCCCAGGGGGATGGCCGCCCCATAATCCCTTCTTCTCCATTCTCCTCTCAGGATTTTGGGCATGTATGTGCATACACCCAGAGTGAGTTTCAAGCCACCAGGTCCTAGACTCAAACTGCTGTCGGCCATGTGGGAGTCCAGCGACATAACCATTACGCCCTCTGTTGGTCCCTCTTGATGTCTTCTTACCATTGCTTTTTCTTTTCTGATCTGTTAAAATATCTTGAAACTGTTCAGCTCCTCTCAACATTTCCTTAAAGCTGAGTTCTTGAGAAAAATAGGAAACTCCAGCCTCCAGAGCATTGAGGTACCTAGGACAGGAAACAGAGAAACTAAGAAACCAGCTTAGTTTCCTCAAGGCCTTCTGTGCCTTTTACTTATTATTTGCAGATCTGTCATGGGACTTGTTTATTTAAAATTTGGTCATTAACGTAACAGACATACACACTGTGACACCACTGATTTGGATTGTGAACATCTAATGAAGTAAAAGTAAGGAAAGTTTTAAAGAATCCTTATGTGATATACAGATAGTAGACATTTGGTGGGACCCTTATAATGACTTCTTGCTACTTGAAGAAGGAAGGTTCTACTCTGCTCTATAAACAAGCCCCGTTATCAGAGGTAGGTTGAAACCTTTGAAAACAGTACACAAACTCAGAATAATGTTTGCCCTCATGTGCAGTGGACTTTTGTGTATTCTAAGTTCAGGCCATAGTTTCTAGGGTGAGGTGATTTCTATGGTTCCCTAGATGTGCATTCCTGGTAGCATCCCAGCTTAGTTTTCTGCACTTTTGGGTGGAGAGTGACTACAAAACCAAGTAGCATCTTGGAAATATAGACAGTAACCTGAGCAAAAGGTTCCTTCTGACACTTTTGCTGGTCATGAGTGAACCTGATAATTTCCTTAGAGCAATGGTACCCACTATTCCTGTTCTCCTCCACTCCTTGCTCCTCTGAAATGCTGTGAGAGAAATTGCTTCTAACTAAATACAAGGGTAGGAAGAATGCACATTCTCTGGTATCATGTCTTACGCAGCAATGCGAAAACATTAACTTCTGGTTTTCATTTTTCTTATCTGTAAAATAGGGATTATGGTACTGTTTTCTTTAGGAGACTTACTGTGGAAATCAATAGGACTGATGTGAATGTAATTTCAAAACTAGAAGTACTGTTTCAAATGTGATCTATGTTGATTATTTTTTTTTCTTTTGGAGAGGTTTTTGCTATAGGGCATGTGTGTTCACCATAAAGACAGAGAGAGACAGAGAGATAGAAAGAGAGAAATCACCCCCCAGGGGGGATGGCCACCCCACAATCCTTTCTCCTCCTTTCTCCTCTCGAGATCTTGGGCACGCACGCACATGCGCCCGGCGTGAGTTTAAGCCACCAGGTCCAGGACTCGAACCACGGTCGGCTACATGGGAGTCCAGCGACATAGCCATTATGCTAACTGCTGGCCCCTATTTGATTATTTTTAAAATAATGTACTTTGGCCCATTTTCTTTTCATTTTGTGTAAGAAAGTGGGCTGGTATCCGTTCCCAAGGCTGTCATAGATGGAAGTTCCATTGACAGTCACCAGGCGGCTTGCCATGAATCTATGGCTTCTCTCCACAAGTGTCTGGAGAATATTAATGATGCCACTTACCAGAAACAGTCCTCAGTCTCAGTACCATCTTTGTAAACATATGCAGTGTTCCAGGAAAATGGTTTGAATGGCATATTGTTGGCCTTCCAAAAATTAATCAAGAAATACATCAACTTTCTAGCTGGAGGCATCATTCTGGTTAATGTTTCTTTATAGTCACATGACAGTCCAAAGCTTCCAGCCGAAATCATGGGATAGTTCAAATCTGTGTCAAGACTATGCCAAGAGGTGAGAAAGAAATCAGTATCAGGATTAACTTAGTAGCACAAACAAGACCCCCTCTTTGATCTGATTCAGCGTGTGTATATAAGTGGTAAGAATGAAGCAGAGTGGAAAAGTGGGTTCTTCATTTATATAGATGTCCATCCTACACAGGGGAATTTAAAAGCATTTATGAGCATGTACCATGTTCTAAGCATGCTCTAGGTGGCTTCATGAATATGTGGCTTGGCTACTTATATTTATTTTAAAATAAGTTGTCATGATATCTGAGATGTATGGACTTTGGGGAGCAGGACTAAGAAAAGAGAAGATGAGCTTCCACAACTATTGTAAAGCCAGGAAGATCCCCTCTGCACTTTCCCTTCTATACACTGCTTTTTTCCTAGCTTTTCTGTGGGCTACCTTTGAGATAGATATCAGCTGAGTATTTGAGAGACTTTCTTTGCTCTGCACATTTTTTCCCCTTAGTTCTGCTATTCATGTGCTCATCAGAGAGACAGAGATGGAGGAATGAGGAAGCACCCCTTGGGGTTGGAGGGTATGGCCACACTGCTATCCCTTTTCCTCCATTCTCCTTTTGGGATTTTGGGTAGACACACACATGCTTTCTATATGTTTTTCAAGTCACTGGGTCTGGTATTTGAACTGCCCAGTCAGCCATGTGGGATCAGGCTGCCTTAGTCACCACACTGCCAGGTGATCCATATGGACCTTCTCGTAGTTCCTTAAACATCTCAAACTTCATTCTTAGTCAGGGCCTTGACTAATGCCAGGACTCCTTTCCCTTACTTCTTTGTTTGGCTGACTCTGTGTTCACAAATTAATCTTTTACTTTTCTTCCTCAAAACTAATACTTTTATTTTTTCATTTCTTTTACTATTTTGCGATCTCAAAGCCTTTGTGATTACTTTCCATCCCTCACTTCAGCATCCTATTAGTTATCCAATACTAATGAATTCTACCTTCAGACGTTGTTAAGGTGTCCTCTCTTGCCACATCCACTGCTCATCCAGGCCCTCCTTCTCCCTTGCTGACGTTCCTGTCCTTGGTCTCCACCTGTGTCTTTCCTAGACACTGTTGGCAACTGTTCTTCCCCAAGCTGAGCTTCTTCTTGTGGCACTCATTCACTCATTACCTCAGTGGTGTCTGAGGTAAATGTCCTTGTGTACAACTTCCTTCGCTTGGACTTCCCTCACGTGGACTTCCAAATATAGTCCTACTTCATTTTCCCAAGTCTTGTCTTTACTATTCCCTCTTGCATTTCCTGAGCTCCAGTTAAAACGAACTTTCATAAATTTTCTTTACTTCCCTGTGTCTTTGCTTTTCCACCCACTGTTCCCTCTCCTGGCCAGGAAGCTTAGCCCTTCTCTGCTCATGACAGTCCTACCAGTTCTTCAACACTCAGCTCAGGTGCCATCTCCTTCTTGGAGTCTTTCCCCTCCTGAAGCTTAGCCCCCTCAGCCAGAGGTACCCGAGTTTCTGTTTGTGCCGTGGATCTTCTTGTTTGTGCCTCTCCGATGGAACCTGTCTCACTTGGCCTTGTATTGGTTGCCAGTGTCTTTGTCACTTGTTTGGCTGTGTTTTACCTAATGCTTTCTACGGTGACAAAATTAAAATGCTTCTTTGTACACATAGAGCTCTTCATAAGTGGTGAATCAATTTTCCCAATTTTGAGCATACTGTATAGTGATATAAGAAAGTGATCTGGGCCAGCAGTTGGCGTAATGGCTATGTCGCTGAACTCCCATGTAGCCAGCAGCAGTTCGAGTCCCAGACCCGGTGGCTTAAACTCACACCAGATGCGTGTGTGTGCATGCCCAAGATCCTGAGAGGAGAATGGAGGAAAAAGGATTGTGGCGTGGCCATCTGCCCTAGGGGGTGATTTCTCACTTTCTGTCTCTCTGTCTCTCTCTTCTCTCTGTCTTTATGGCAAGCGCATGCACCCCATAGTAAAAACCTTTCCAAAAAAAAAAAAAAGAAGAAGAAGAAGAAAGTGATCTGATAAAACTGCAGTGAGAGAAGCCAGTTGATAGTGTTGTATTTGCATCGCTGGACTTCCACATGGCCAAATGAGGTTCAAGTCCTGAACCCAGTGACTTGAAACTCACGCTGGGTGCATGTGTGTGCCTGCTCAGGATCCCAAGAGGAGAATGGCAGAGAGAGGATTTCAGTATGGTCATTCTCACTTTCCTCATGGTCTACCTCTTTCTCTCCCCAGTAAGAGCATGTGTGCCAAGACAAGACCCATTCCCACCCAGTGGGAGTGGGTGGTAGAGAGGAAGATTCTGTGTCTGTCTGCATCTTAGTATGCACGATGGGCTCCAAGAGGGCTTCTGCAGTGTGTATGGTAAGCAGTGGGCCTGAGCATCTGAGCTCAGGTGTGAGGTGTCAGAGGCAGGCTTTTCAGTAGCCATTTTGGAGGTCTAATATTTATCTCCCCACCCGTAAATCTACTGCAAGGAGTCCTGTTACACGGTTTCTCTGTGTAAGACAAAGGATGATTATTGACTAAGGATAAGATTGAACAAGTGGAAAAAAAAAAAAAGCATGGGAAAGGGATTTTGACCGAGGAGGGTATGATAGCAGAACAAAATGTTCTCTGGCAATATAAACTACCCTGAGTGAGATGAATAGGAAAGTTGAGGGAGATTTTTCCCAAAGCCAGAAAAACAATTCTAGAACGCATACAACCTTCACAAAGTCCATGGGGCCAGACAGTGGCACAGCTGTAACACCACATTCCGTGATGCTGGAGCTACATGTGCACGCTGGGTGTGCATGTGCATGGCCACGATCCAGGCCAGCTGAGGCTGGGGGTGGATCATGGTGTGGGGACCCTGTTGAAAGTGCCTCTCTCTCTTCTCATCTCACAGAACACATAAAACAAACTTTAAAAAAATTTTTATGAAAAATGTGTATTACAGAATCCCTGTGCATAGATTTCAGAAAGTTTTGCACTGAATAAACTTGTACTTTAATTATTTTTTTTTGAGAGGTTTTTGCTATAGGGTGCATGCACTCGCCAGACAGACACAGAGAGACAGAGGGACAGAAAGCGAGAAATTACCTCCCAGGGGGGATGGCCACACCACAATCCCTTCTCCTCCATTCTCCTCTCGGGATCTTGGGCCTG